ACGGTGAATACTAGACCTGGTTTCTTTAATATTTCCCCTTTTTTAGCGAGATTGATGCTCGACAAGCATACACATAAAAATTTTAAAAACTAATAGAATTCTTTTCATTTTCTTTTTCATTTCAAAATAATCACGGACTTTTAGGAATACGTTCTGAAAGCGTCGCCCATGTGACGACGGCGTGACCATGTTAGACGGAAGGCTGATCATTTTAAAAATTTTCAGTTATCTGTTTTGGATAAGACTTGTGTTTTTTATGTCCATCGTATTTGTCATATTGAACTGAATTGTATTTTAATGAATATTGGCTTGAAAAAGGTTTAATAAACCGAAACGTCAGACGTCGACATTTCATTCATTTTAAACAACATTTAAGGATTTTTGTTTGTTTTTTCAAAATTTTTCTTCATATATATATATATATATATATATATATATATATACAGTCCAAAAGTATTGTAACGGCAAGGGTAATATATTTGTTTTTTGTTGCTCACTGAAGACATTTGGGTTTAAGATCAAAGATGAATATGAGACAAGAGGCCAGAATTTCAGCATTTATTTCCTGCTATTTGCTTTTAGATGTGTTAAACAGCTTAGGACATATCACCTGTTGGTTGAACCCACCCATTTTTCAAGTGAGCAAATCTACTAGAACACGTGACTGACATGTGTTTCTTGTTGCCCAGGTATTGCTTTTTAGGTTCACTGTTTAAACAATAAATAGCTCAGAATGACTATTCATTTATCCTATTTTTGTTCTTTTTTCTTCTCTTTCTTTCTTTGTCGTACTTTCGTTTTCTCTTACTTTCTTTGTATTTTTTGTTCGTTTGTCCTTTCATTCGTTCTTTTCTTTCAGTTTCTCTATCGTTCGTTCAGTTTTGTTCTTTCTTTTCTTTTTTTGTCCTTTTGTTTGTTCTTTCGTTCTTTTTTCTTCCTTCCCTTTCTCTTTCGTTCTTTTGTCTTCTTTCCCTTTCTCTTTTGCTCTTTTTTCTTCCTTCCATTTCTCTTTCGTTCTTTTCTTTCTTCCATTTCTCTTTTTTCTTCCTTCCCTTTCTTTTTCGTTCTTTTTTTCTTCCTCCCATTTCTCTTTCGTTCTTTTCTTCCTTCCCTTTCTCTTTTGCTATTTTTCTTCCTTCCCTTTCTTTTTCGTTCTTTTTTCTTCCTTCCATTTCTATTTCTTTCTTTTCTTCCTTCCTTTTTTTTTTCTTTTCCCTCTTTTTTCGTTCTCTTTTCGTTCTTTTTTCTTCCTTCCATTTCTATTTCTTTCTTTTCTTCCTTCCCTTTCTCTTTTGCTATTTTTTCTTCATTCCCTTTCTTTTTCGTTCTTTTTTCTTCCTCCCATTTCTGTTTCGTTCTTTTCTTCTTTCCCTTTCTCCTTTGCTCTTTTTTCTTCCTCCCCTCTCATTTTCGTTCTTTTTTCTTCCTTCCCTTTCTTTTTCGTTCTTTTTTCTTCCTTCCCATTTCTGTTTCGTTCTTTTTTCTTCCTTCCATTTCTCTTTCGTTCTTTTCTTCTTTCCCTTTCTCTTTTGCTCTTTTTGGTTCTTTCGTTCTATCACTCGTTTTTTTTTTTTTTTTTTCTCTGTCGTTCATCTATTTACTCCCTTTCTTTTTCCCCATTATTTTTATCTTCGCTTTTGATTTCCCGCCAATACTACCGACGCGCCTATTTCACGTCGAACGTGACTTGCTTCCAAACGAGATCGTGTGTGATATTGCAGACGTTTAACGACAGACGTAAAAAAAAAAAATATAGAAAAACAGTGGGCCAAAAACTGCGGTAATGAAATTAAAAAAAAAAAAAAAAAAAAAAAAAAAAATGGAACCTTCTGAAACATTTCATGTCGGAAATAGATTTGGTAAATTTACAATTCCTCAGAACAGGAAAACATTCATTAACTGATATTATTTAGACAAATTAATTCTACTTACAATTATTAAGATTATATATCATTCGGTAAATATTCATTTCTTTTCAGATATACGCATACATTTTATTTAAACAATACACAGAATTATTTCTCAATTCACACAGTTACACACACACACACAAACACACACACACACACATACACACACACACACACATATATATATATATATATATATATATATATATGAAGAAAAATATATACGGAAAAAAACAAACAAAAATCCTTATATAAAATATGTTTTAATGTAAATATGTCAATTCAACGTTTCGGTCAAATTATATTTTATGAATATGTCATTATCAATTCAAGATGGTTTATTTTACCGAAACGTCCGACGTGGTTTACAAATTAACATTTTAAAAAACAGCATAATTGCATATAAGATTTTTGTTTGTTTTTTTCCGTATATTTTTCTTCATACTGTCGGATCTATATCCATATATTTGCTTATATATATATATATATATATATATATATATATATATATATATATATATATATATAACACACAGGGTGCGATTGATAAATTGTCGTCTAAGTTACGCAAAAATGAAAATAACACTATTATTCAATACAATCGACACTGGCTTCAACTACGGCCTCCAGAATCTCCTGCAACTCTTCTGGACGGTCTCCTTGCTTATGTTAGTGAATGCTGCCATAAACCTTGCGTTCAGTCCATCTTTGGTGTCAAAGGAGTTTTGTTGGTCTCTCGATCAACTGCAGTCTGTCAGTTATGTGTCATGCGTGATACACGCTTAGGCGATCACTTTTGATACATGACTGTCAAGGAAGATTCTTTCCCGCAGTAGGTTGCCATTTCTTTCTGCGGTAGCCCAGTTGCCATCCAAGGCTATAGAACCCGGTCTGTTCTGCTATTTACCCATATCTGGGAGGAGAAGAAGAGCATTCATACCTTTCGCAAGGGTATTACTTCGTAAATGAATGTAAAGCATTCTACTGGAATTCAAACTCGGCTCTCTGTTTTCTCAATCCCAGCCGTTATCCATTCCTCCACCGCTCAACTGTGGCCCACATATAATAATCAAGCGGGGTTGCAGCCTGGGAAGTTAGGAGGTTAGATGTAAGGGGTAATGTGGTCGCAGAAATTGTCTGACAGCTATGACTGGGTTCTCCTGCTTGTGTACCATGGTGCTGAGTCTTGTTGCCACACATAGGATCTTGAACTAGAGCTGGTACTTGATCAAGGTACTTGATGTAGGCCTGTGTTTGAGCCCCTCACCAACAAATTCAGAACTTCTTTTCTTATCAGAACGATTAAATTCGTAATCACCAGTAGACTCATCCGACTCTTTCCGAATTCTCTCTACTGTCTTCTCATTAACACCCGAAAACCCTGCAATATTCGTATTGGATTTTCCGATGCGAATGCTAAGCAGTATATCATACCGTTTCCAAATTTCTGGCAGAGTGAGTTGCGTCATGGTGCCTTTTTATATCAGACGATGCCCAACTGACCCTACCAGACTCTGCAGTCGACAAAATCATATTTGTGTGCGTATATGAATAGGATATCAGATTTGACATGAGAAAGCCTGTTTTATTGACTTCATTACGCGTTTCGTCATCATTAGATTGGCTTCCTCAGATAAGTTTTTTTTTTCAAGTTGGGGAACAGATGATAGTCAAATGGGACCAAATCAGAAGCCACGGACTTGTATGCTGGAGCATTGTCCGGATGAAACAAGAAGCCTTTCCTCAGTTTTCTTGTGCGTTAGGTCTTCGGAGCCTTTCGCAACGACATCAGGAATTTGGTATACTATTCAAAATAAAAACAATGCCTTCTGTATCTCAAAAATAAAACTGAGGCCATCGACTATCTTGCAGATTAAACGACCTTGGCCAGATGAGGAGGTGTGTTTCCACAACATGGATTCTCTTTGTTTCCGACTAAAAGTGATGGATCCACACTCCTCCTGGGTTAGGAAACGTTGAAGGAAACCAGCTGGATCAGCTTCGAGTATTCAGGCAGCAACCCTTCTTTAATTCATGTTTTGTTAAACAAAAGTGACGAGTTGCTTTTTTAAGGATTTGATTATTGTTTTCTTCAATGCGAGCACGTGCTTTTTTTTTCTAGACTAAATATCTATTTAAAGGTGTTCAAGAAATATATCGTAAAATCAACTCGTCAATTTCGTTTATCTATCTATCTATCTATCTATCTATCTATCTAATAATCTGCCTGTCCGTTTCTCTCTCTCTTTCTTTCTTTCTTTCTCTCTCTCGCTCAAAATTTCTATTACTTATAAACCAATTCCCAATCCAGTTGTAATGTTCTTGATGGTGCGGCTTGGTTGAAAGAGGATGCTGCTCTTGGGGCCGGTTCCGATGAGTATCGCCAACGGAATTAGGAGTAGCTGAGCTATATTGAGTTTAGTTAGTTTCCTCTGCGTCACCGAGGCCCGCTGGTCCAGTGGTATGATGCTTGCGTTGTAATGTAACGGCCCGGACCCAGTAACAAATGGATGCGCACTGCTGATGAGTCTCATAAAAGGATGGAATTGCCGTCCAGTGCTTTCTGCATTCTGTTGAGGATTCTTGTTCAAGAATCGAGGAATTATTATGCGAAATTATTAGAATCTCCAAAACCTTTCTATTACACACACACACGCACGCACACACACACACACACACACATATATATATATATATATATATATATATATATATATAATATTACAATTGGACTTAAGATACCTTTAGTTTATGACAATTTTCACCAACGAATTTTAATCTTAAAATGCAATCAGTTTGTAGTGGGATGAAAATAAACATGGAGCGTTCTTTTGTGATTCAGTTTTAACATATTTCACATTGTATGTTGTGTTAATAGGACTCACCTAGATTATACCAACCTCTCTCTCTCTATATATATATATATCTATATATATATGTGTGTGTGTGTGTGCGTGCGTGTGTGTGTGTGTGTGTGTGTGCGTGTGTGTGTGTGTGTCATTGGACGTTTTATTTCGCCCTGTTCCGATGTTTCCAGTTCTTTCTTGTTTTTTCCAATTTTTTTCCTCGGTGTGTGAATGACTGGCAAATTCTATCCGAGGATTCCCGTCTAAAGGTGGAAGCTGGTTAACCAATGTTCAGGCGCATTTACATTTGTTCAAAACCTATAGAGCCTACCAGATATATATATATATATATATATATATATATATATATATATATATATATATATATATATATATATATATAGTATATATATATATATATATATATATATATATATATATATATATATATATATATATATATATATATATATATATATATATATATATATATATATATATATATATAGAGAGAGAGAGAGAGAGAGAGGAATAGAGACATAAAAGTAAGAAAATTCAAATTCAATAATAACAACATTCATCGGTTATTACCCTTTAAATGAGATCACTAAGCATCCTGCAGAATTTACTTTCACTTTCACTTTTAACATTAGGAATATTTTTGAGCGCTCTTAAAGATTTTAAAGTCTAACAACAGTTTTCATATATTTTTATACCCAACGTGTCACTTACAATCTAATGAGCTTACAGCGAAAGCGCACTTGTAAGTATGCAGTATAAGTGTGACCCAGTAGTTTCCAAAAGAGACTACAAGAGAAAATAACAGTCAAGAATGTACTTTCTGATGGAGTTAAATAAAAATGAAACATGTCAAATATATATATATATATATATATATATATATATATATATATATATATATATATATATATATATATATATATTCAAGCGTGTTAAAAAATTTAGATTATTTTTATTATTTAGATATTATTTAAATTTTTATTGTTTAGATAAAATATTTAACCAAACACGCTTGAATATATATATATATATATATATATATATATATATATATATATATATATTCAAGCGTGTTTGGTTAAATAATTTAGACGTATTATGTCTATTTAATCTACACCTATCACGAAATTAATTCGTGGACTTGAAAGGAATAGTCTTAAAATGAATAGACATAATACGTCTAAATTATGCTTGAATTAAAACATGCCGTGTAACTATATATATATATATATATATATATATATATATATATATATAAAAGTTGCAAATAAAAAAAATAATAATGTTTTATTTTGTGAAAGTATTTATTTATTTATATATATATTTGATATTTCAGATTTAAAGTAATTTTAATTTATTTGTAACAAACAGTTATTTCTAATGAAAGATTGTGGGCAATCTGAAATATCAAATTTTCATTATATATATATATATATATATATATATATATATATATATATATATATATATATATATTTCAATTAAAAGGTGCAATTATAATTTATAAATTCATGAATCGTTCATACAAAAAACAAATATAAAGGTTAATAGTTTAAATGGCGAGAATACATCTTCGCAAACAATTTCAATAAGTTACACTAACCCCGAACCTGGATATGAATGATATGATCCCTGTTTATAAATTCCAGTTGCATGAAGTCTTTTTAATTTTTTACAAGCTTTCGTCTGTTCCTACAGACATCCCCAGGTATGAAAATAGATTTTGTTCTTGTTTTTACTTCTCGGTAATAAGAGGATAACGAAAATATAAATGTAATCCGAAAAAATGCTATGAGAAATGTGTTATTCTTTTGGAACGTGCTGTCGCAACGCTGAGTTTGAATTTAAATTTTAAGGTTGTGCGTTTTTGTACAAATATAGCAATAAGAGAATTCTTTTTTACTGGTAGATTTTCCGTCAATATGGCATGAAGTATATTGTTCAATAATTACAGTAATGTCACACTTATCCGAAAGTTGCATGTTGGATCAGTTATTTTAATTTCAATTAAAAGGTGCAATTATAATTTATAAATTCATGAATTATTCATATAAAAACAAATATAGAGGTTAATGATATATATATATATATATATATATATATATATATATATATTTTATCACTTTTGTATATTTTTTATTCACATCCTGGACAATTTCGTCCGATGAAGTCTCTCTTTGTCTCTCTCTGTGTTTGTGTGTGTGTGCATATGTATATTTGTGTGTAGCGTGCATATCTACTCATACTGCGTGTATGCCTATGTGTGTGCCTTGTATATCATATCATCCATAAATATAGAATATGTATTCTCTAACACTCAGTAACCCCTTGCTTCTTAGTAACGCTATTGCTTTGCTTGTGGTGAAATGATATATATATATATATATATATATATATATATATATATATATATATATATATATTATGAAAAACTAGGTAATCCGTATGGGTAAACCTAAGGTTTGTTTGGAAGTAAAGTTTGATGATCCGTAGTCCTTTTAAAAGAGCTGTGGTGAAATAATTTATTACATGGAACCTTAAAGTGGTCTGTTTTATTAATATATATATATATATATATATATATATATATATATAGTGTGCATATCTGTGGCCTGCATGCATGTCTATGTGTGTGGTGTGTTTATGTATGTGTGTGATTTTATGGCTGGGAGATTTGATACCGCTCACAGAGTAAATTATACATAGAAAATGTCGCATATTTG